AAGTATTAATCCCTTTACAATTCTGTGACATGAAGCCTTTTTTACGATTTAATAGACCACTAGGTCATTTTCACCACATTTTTGCCCAGAAGTGACCCCTAGCGCCAAAACGGTTCAACATAGAGCAAAACAGACGAAATTTTCGCCCGAAGGGTTGTACTTTAACGAGTTACCTCATAGGAGCCCATAAAAAAATAGTTGGAAAAAACAAATATTTTGCAACCTTTGGTTTTTGATTTATTCAAAAGTTAATTTTTGAGCTACAATGCTCATCTTCGAACTCGATCTGTCTTTTTATGATACAAAACGACCCTGAAATTCCCAGATCGCTCTCAATTCATTCTCGAGTTATCGTGCGGACAGACAGACAAACAGACAGACAAACAAACAGAATGAAACTTTTCCGGTCAGCGGAGTTATGGGCGCTAATCGCTCAGCCAATTATAATAGACCATTTCACCCGAGCGCTTTTCGACCTCTCGAAGAACAAAAATACCGGAAGTCAGGGTAAAGTGTCTCACGAAATAGAGATTTTGTCGTCAATGCAACCGACAATCTACTCTTCTCAGTCCTAAATTTAGTCAAAAATATATTATTACGGCACACACCGCTTCAATCTAACGTGTTTAACGGCTAGGAACGTTCCATATACTGCACGACTTCCGGTATTTTTGTTCTTCGAGAGGTCGAAAAGCACTGGGGTGAAATGGTCTACTTTTAACCCGCCCTTCTGCATTGAAAAAGCTATCCAGCAGGCCTATGCAAACGACCTCGTGTCTCTGTGTCCGTTCCACTAGGAGGAGATGTGATAGAGACTTGAAATTTTCAGGGTATCTTAAGGTCCACTCCTAGAGAACGAAACGCCTACGGCAATCCTGTCAACCACCCCTAAGGGAGTGAATGGGGGTACCCAAGGTTCAGAAATTCTCCTAAAAAGTATTTTATTTTATGTTTTCTTTAGGGGTAACTCGTCAAAGTATAGCCCTCTGGGCAAAAATTTCGTCCGTTTTGCTCTATCTTGTACCGTTTCGGCGCTATGGGGCATTTCTTGGCGAAAACAACGTGAAAAAGATAAAATGGTCCATTAAATCGTAAAAAGGCT